CCCCAAAACCCCAAAACCCCAAAACCCCAAAACCCCAAAACCCCAAAACCCCTATTAGTAAATTTTTGATTGAAAGTTGGATATCGCATGAGTATATCAGAATTGATTAGCATCTGTAAGCAGGGTGAGCTAAATCCTGTAAAAATCCGCAAGTTCCTCCAGTGGTTTCATCTCCAGGTGCGATTCTCATGTATCCTTCTTCTCCCCAGCTTGTTCCCCATGAGTTTCTGAGGATGAAGAAGTCTTTTCCGTCATCATTTCCATAACCAACAACAGCGACAGCGTGGTTCATTGTGGTTCCGCACTCTTGATCATCAAAGACTCCGCTCTTGTAGAATTGGAAAACTTCTGAGTCTCCTGCAATTCCGAGAGCAACAACACTGTAAGTAGCCGTCTCTTTTAGCGCATCAGCACTAAATGGAGGAACCTTTGAATATTCTCTGATGACATAGTCAGTATCGGTACATTCATCTTGAAGGCATTTTCCATCTTGATCGGTCTTGTATGGGTACTCCTTTTGGAGGCAGATTGGGAAATCTGTCAAAAAGTCATATGTTGTGGTGACAAGACCCCCATTACAACCAGCATTGCCATATTCTTCTGAGCAATCAACAATTTGTTGTTCGGAGTATTTTTGAAGAGAGGGAAGGAAGAATGATGTTTCATGTTCAATCGAAGCAGTAGATGCAAATGCGTAGCATGATCCGCACTTTCCTTGGTCCTGAATAGGGTTCACTGATTTGCCTCTCCAGTCAACTTCAGTATCTTTAACTCCTTTAAGAGTAGTATACTTCACATCTTTTCTCTCATCAGGAGTATATGTCAAGAGGGCTTTAAATTCCTCTTTAGTCCAGTCTCCAAACTTGTTCATTCCTACCCTATAACTTCTTCCTTCGCTATTAACTCTCTGAATAGTCTGGTAGTTTTCTCTGAACACCTGGAGCCTCATGGCGTACTCATGTTCACTGAAGTAGTTCCTACCGTATTCTCCCAAGAACTGTTGGAATTCAGTCTCGACAGAGTCAACTGGAGGAGTCATGATGAAATATGAGGCTGTCAGAAGTCCTAAGGCTAACACAATAATGCTGGTCTTCATTTTTATTATTATAAACTAATGTAGGCCAAATTCAAGAAATCTTTAAGACATTGGGGTTTTGGGGTTTTGGGGTTTTGGGGTTTTGGGG